CATTGATAAAATAACTCAGGATTCTCTCTCTCTCTCTCTCTCTCTCTCTCTCTCTCTCTCTCTCTGTCTCTCTCTGTCTCTGTCTCTGTTGCTACTGGTGTTTTAACACAGCTTTGTGCTCTTGATTTGTTTTCTCCCTCAAAGCCTGGACTTTACCATGTGAGCAACAGTTACACTTCTGGCTCTTTGCTGGTAAATTGGAGATGAAATCCCAAATTTATCTGCACAGGCTGGTATGTACCCAGGACTCTCAGATCTCAGCTTTTTGAGTAGCTCAGATTACAGGCATGAGTCATTGGCATCTAGGTTTAATATATTTATTAATGTAAATTCTTACTATTCATAAAATCACACAATCACATAATTATTAAATCAATTATTTTATTGATTTTAATTTTAAAGTATTAATCAACTATCAATTATTGAATTACAATCAACTTGTTATTAAAGTAATAAAATAAAAGATAATTTCAATAAATATATGATTATATATTATAAATATAATTACTTATAAATGTTATTAATTAAGCAAAGGAAAGAATGACAGACTTTCCTTACATTATGTGGCCTTTTGGACTACCATCTTTAACTTACTTTTTTTAAAGTCATTCATGCTGTATTTAGTATATCCATATGGCATTCCTTTTGCTATATAATATTCCCTTGTGTGTATACACTATATTTTATTGCTCTGTTTATCAACTGATGAACATTGGGTTAGTTGGATATGTTTTGCCTTTTCTGACTAATGATAGTATGAGCACTTTTGTATATCTCTTTTTTGCCAGTCCTGGGTCTTGAACTCTGTGTTTGAGTACTTTCCCTGAACTTCATTTGCTTAATATTAGCACTTCACCACTTGAGCCACAGTACCACTTCTGGCTTTTTCTGTTTATGTGGTAATGAGGAATGGAACCCAGGGATTCTTGCATGCTAGGCAAGCACTCTACCATTAGGACACATTCCCAGCCACTTGTATAACATTTTTTGTGGTATAATTATGTTTTCATTTCTCTTGGATATAGTTAGGATTAGAAATACTGTTTTCCAAAGCAACTGCACCATATTTCCTTTCTATTACCAATGCACGAGGAACCCAGATTCTCTACAGCACTGCCAACATGTGTTTTGTTATCTGTGTCTTATGTTAACTACCACAGTGAGGGTTAAGTGACATACCAGAATAGTTTTTGTTATCATTTCCTTAAACACTAGTGTAATGACTTCTTTCTAGTGCTATGTGTCACTTGTACCTCATTTGGTTTGTAATGCCTATTTACTCCTTTTGCTCATTTTTTGAAATTAATTTTTATTGAGATTAAGTGATTGCAAAAATTTCACTAATTTCACAGTATTGTGGGATAGTGATACTTAGTTAAAGTCACAAACCCATTTTAATCTTTATGAGGTACATTGGCAATACTTGGCCTTTTGCACATTTTTAATAGGACATTTTGTCTTTTTATATTACACTCATTTTTGTTTGTTAAAGTATTTTTGTTAGCATACATCAATTGTACAAGAGGACTCAATTATGACATTTCTGTGTATACATGCATTTTATTCCAATCAAACTTACCTCCTCCCCCAATCTCCATCACCTCATATCCCTGCTTCTTAAAATAGTTTCAACATATTTCATTGTTTTGTTTTCATACATGATGATGAACAATTTTGACTATATTCATGCTCATTTATCCTCTCCATGATGCTCTATGATGTACCCACCCCTCAACAGAGCCTGTTCTACACTCCTATCATTCAATTTCTTCATACGTTTGTTGTACAAAGGGATTTTATACTTATCACTGAGTTCTAGGAGCTACTTTGCTACACTCATTGAAGGGACTTTATCAGACATGTGACTTATGAATATTCTCACGTTAATGGAGAGACTTCTTGGTGAAGTACTTTCAAGCATCTATATTTGTGATGCAGTCAAACTTGCCTGTCTTTATTTTGATGGTTGGCATTTTGGTGTCATCGCTAAGTATTTACCCAATTCACTGCCATGAATATTTACTTTTATGTTTTCTTAGAAATAATGTTGCTGTTGAATATCTAATCCATGATCCATTTAGATTTAATTTTATGTACTTCAGAAGGAAAAGCTAACTTTCTTTTATATATAAAAAATTGTCCCTATTCTTTCTCTCTGTTGTAATATGTAATCTCTAAATAAGTTTTATGATGACATTACCTTTAATAAGGCAAATTTATGTGAAAATACATATGTATATACTCTAATTCTGAAATCAGAAGATCTGTGACTTAATGGGATTAAAATTTGTTAAAATATTTAGAAGAATCATAAAGACAGCTCTTTAATGTACTTTTGAGGTGAAATGTTAAATTAAGAATATTTGAATTTGGGGCCTGAAATACTCAATTAAGTGCTATACACCAAAACTAGTGGAAAGTACTTATCTAGTATAATATGATCTTAGTAGATATTCAATAATTAATTATTATTTGTTCATTTTTATGTGTTTCAATATAAAAAACTGTCAACTAGATTTCCCATTTATTAGCTATTCCATGAAATTTAAAAGGCAACTTTAGATCTGATATGGAATTAGGCTTTACTTTCTGTCACATATGGTGAATAGGGACAGCTGATGTTAAATTTGGTGGAAAATGTGAGGATTAAACTTGTAAATTCTTTCAGCAATTCTGAACACTCTCTAAGTGTAATTGTCTCTCATAATTTAAAGCTATGGGCATTGCAGCATGTGGTTCCTCACCCTTTGTAGAATGGTGGAGCAGAATTTTGGAGGTGAACTATAGATCCAATTAGGGACTGTATAACTAGGATATACAGAGAGCTTTAAAAAATAAGCTCTTGACAAATCAACAACATAATAAATGGACAATGGAGATAAATATTTTTCAAAGAAAAATGAGCACATGAAGAAAAATGCTCAATTTTCCTAGCCATAAAAGAAATCTAGATTAAAACACCATTGAGAGGTTGGTTGCCACTGGCTTATACCTATAATCATAGATACTCCACAGGTTGAAGCCAACCAGGTGCAATAGTGCCTCATATTCTTCTCTCCAATTAATCATCAGAAAAAAAAGCCTTAGTACAGTTGTGGCTTAAGTTGCAGAGCACAAATCTTGAGTAGAATAACGTAAGAGCCATTGTTTAGACCATGAGTTTAAGACCCCATATCAGCACACAAATACCTCACAAAAACCTGACAGAGAGAAAGAGAGAGAGAAAGAGAGAGGTGAGAGATAAATAGACAGACAGATTGATATATATTTCATTAATATGTGTAGTATAACTTTCCCATAGACCCTGGGACAGTGAATCCTGTATACCTCCCCCACTCTCACTTTTTGGGTTAAAAAATCTTCTCACAAGGAATAATGTACCATATGGAACCAACAAATCTGATGAAAATGCATACTTAATATTGACAATACAAATGAAAATCTTTACTATCTTGAAAAGCACTAATACATCATTATATTCTTGTCTTTTCTATCCTTACTGTTTTGTAGCACTGGCCACTAGCTCCTCTTTTCTGGCTTGGCAGATATTGGAGGACTCAAAGATCAATATCAAGTACACAAACAACAAAGGCAGTGAGAATGTGAAGGAAAAAGGGAGCCTAACTGCAGCAATCACTATGGAAATCATGTATGGATCTTCCTCAAAAAATGAAAAGTAGACCTACTGTATGACCCCGCCATATCACTTAAGCATTACCCAATAGAATGTAAGACTGGATATAAAAAAGGCATCTGTATACCTATATTTATTGTAGCACTTGACACAATAATCAAACAATGAAAATGGCCTAGCTTCCCTACAGCTAATCAGTGAATCAAAAAATGCACTAGATAGATAGATAGATAGATAGATAGATAGATAGATAGATAGATAGATAGATAGATAGATAGATAGATAGATAGATGCAGGAAAGATAGGTGATTGACCGATGATAGATATGAGACAGACAGACAGAGATGCACACTAATGTGTGTGGTATAATTTTTCTAAGGGCTCTGAGACAGTGAATCCTGTTTACCAACCTGACTCTCACTTTTTGGTCAAAAACACTTCTCACAAGGAAAAATGTACAAATGGAAAACTGATGGAAATGTCATGCTTAATATTGACAATACAAATGAAAATCTTTACTGTCTTGAAGAACACTAACACATCTTCATATTCTTGTCTTTTCTATCCTTACTGCTTTGTAGCACTGGCCTCTAGCTCCTCTTTTCTGGCTTGGCAGATATTGGAGAATGTAGAATTCAAAGACCAACATCTCCAAGGATCAGGGAAAGAAATTTACCTCAATAATTTTTCTTCTTCAGTCCCTAGACACTGCCTGTGCCCTCAAAAGTTGTCTTGTTTATGAGGATGATCCAGCTTGCGTGTGATAAGGATGGGAGGAATCTAGTTTAGAGCCATGAGAATTAACATTCTCAAGAATGCCAAGTCTCTAGTCATGTAAATTTTACAAAACAAAATTAAGAAACATTCCATCTTCTCTTTCCATGTGTGTGGTCATATGTAGAAATCTGTTTTCCTTCCTTTCCTATATTTCTTTTTTAAGAATGTGTTATTTCTTGGCATAAACTCAGCTTTATTATGATTCTTCCTTCTGAAATAACCCCTTCTTGCACCAGCAGCTTACTAAGCAGACATTAGTATTTAGACTATGCCACAACTCTGTATCTAAATACAAAAGTTGTGACCCAGGTCAAGTTCAGGAGGATATAGTGATATTCAGATATTCAGATATACAAGCCAGGTGTAGCGGTGTATGCCTTTAAGTAGCTCACTCTTTTACAAAATATAAAAAGAAAAAAGAATGAACATATAGAGCATTTCATTCATCTTGAGGTTTTATACTTTTAAAACTCAATTTCATTCTTTCACTGAGCACCTATGTGAAAAATGTCTGCATTTTTCTCTATTGTGATCCTAGTGCTACCTGTGGTGAATGCAAACATTATACATTGTTACACTGTTTCATCCTCTACCAACCAGTACTATTGCAGAACAAAAACTTAGAAGCCAGGCTCCTGCTGCAGCTCAGTTTGTGCTCAGCTCCCCCTGTGGTTTCTGCCACTGTGTCTCTCAAAGCACAGTAGTACACAGCTGAGTCTGACACTAGGACTGTGGCTTTCTTCAAGTGGAAGGAGGTGTTTTCTTCATCATACATGGCTTCAAATCCTTTATGGCTTCCCATCTCATTGGCCTTAGAGACTTTAATAAGGAGCTGCAGACCTTCTCCAGGGTATTGGACATACCAGAATAGGGTGGGGTACCCTTTGGTTTCATAGGAACAGTTCACAGTCAGGGAAGCCCCTTCTAACACGGCCACTTGGCCTTGTGTCTGGGTCACTGATTCTCCATTGCTTCCTCCTGAAAAAAAAAATATGAGAATTCAGCGAGAATTACCTTGATATGCTTGGTCATGACCATCCTGTTTCTTAGAGAAACCATGGGTAAAGATTCCCTCAGCATCATGAATATTTTTTTTGCACCATATCACTCACCAAACAATAAGAGCAGTACCATCACTGGTCCTGGGGAGCAGCTCATTTTCAGAGCCTCTGCAATCTGTTAATCTTGATTTCTTGTTGTAAGCAAAGGTGAAGGCATAGGAAAAGATGAAATGTGAGCTGAGGATGACAGCAGGAAGTGGGTGTGTGTTAGGAAAATGTGCCCCCTTGTGGGCAAGATACCAAAACTGGAGGACTGTTAACCTCTTAAAGGCCAGTGCTGCTTCTCCATTTCTGATGGTTAGTGTCCGTGTGTGTGTGTGTGTGTGTGTGTGTGTGTGTGTGTGTGTTAGATACCTATTAGCCTTCTGTTGATCCTTTTTAATTCTTAAGAATAGCTGATATTTTTTATATTTTGAGTCATTATGTTGTTTGCCATATTCTTAAAAGATTTAAGTTTTTAAGTTTATTATTTGTATTTAGGTGGTTATTTTGCAACTCAGTGACTTACTGAAAAATATAAAAGTACGTTTTAGGATAAAGCTCTAGGAATGTGAACATGTTTAGTCACTAGCTCATATTGTTTAACAGAGTATTAAACTATGCCTCACTGTGCAAACTTAAATAAATGGATGGCTTTAAGCATGGGATTGTGGCCCTTGCATGAAGTCCCAGCACATGGGTGGCAGAGACACAAAGAGTATCAGTTATAGGCTAGCATGGGCTACATAGCATATTCCAAGTCATCATGGCTTATGCAGAGAGACTGCCTCAAGAAAAGTTGGAAACTTCAAATTCCCATTTTCATCAGCATAAAGATCAGTCAATCAAAATCTCAACAAAGAAAACTCAGAAGTAGATGGTACCATAGAGGTATTTCAATCAGCAGCTGCACTTTTAGAAAAATGAAAGCAAAGTAAACTGCAAATTATTGGCCAGGAATAAATACTAAAGACTAGAAATGAATTAAATTGATGCTAACTATTTTATACAATGAATCACTAAAATGAAAAATAAGATTAAAAGAAATAAGATTGATAAAATTGCTGGTGCAGGTGGCTCATTTCTGTGATCCTAGCTATTCAGGAGGCTGAGATCTGAGGATTAAAAGCAAGCCCAGGCAAGAAAGTATATGAGACTCTTATCTCCAATAAGCCACCAGAAAACTAGAAGTGGCACTGCGGCTCAAATTGGTAGATTGCTTGCCTTGAGCTAATGAGCTCAGGCATAGTATCTAGGCCCAGAGTTCAAGCCCCACAACTAACCAAAAAAAAAAAAAAAAGATAAAATTCCTAGCTAATTTGACCAAAAGAAGGAGGGGAAAAAACCCTCAAGTTAATAAAATTAGAGATGAAAAAATATCAAAATAACCATCAAAGAAATAAAAATAATTGCTAGCAAACTGAAAACTTGTGTTAAATAAAATGGAAAATTTAGAAGAAATTGACAAATTCCTGGGTATAGTTGAACTACCATAATTCAATCAAAAGGATATAAACCACATAAACAGATTTAAAATAAGGGATGAGATTGAACATAAAATAAAGAATCTCCTAATAAAGAGAAACCTTGGACCTGATGAATTCACAGCCAGTTTCATCAAGTCTTCAACAATTAACTCCAATAGTCATCAAACTCTTCCATAAAATAGAAAAGAAAGGAACAATATCAATCTTATTCTATGAAGAAAGTATTACACTTTTCCAAAACTAAACAGAGAAACAATAAAAAGAGAGAAAATCATAGACCAATATCTTTATTGAAGACTGATGAAAATTTCTTAATAATAATTCTTTCACACAGAATTCTACAACACATTAAGAAGATCATATGCCATGAGCAAGTTGGCTTTACTCCATGAATGTCAGGAAAGTTCAACAAACACGATCAATAAATGAAATTCGTCACATAAATCGAATCAGCAAAAAATAACACAAGATCATCTCAATTGACACATAAAAACCCCTCACAAAATTCAAATTGTTTCATGAGAAAAGTTCTGGAGAAACTTAGAAATGAATTTAATGAAGGCTACATATAAGGAACCCATAACAAACACTGCCTTTTTAGTTAGCATAAAGGAATAAAATAAGTAGATAAATACAGTAAATAAATGAACAAATATTGTTTTACCCAGTAAAATGAATAGTCTTTGTTGAAGTAATGAAATCATTTTAAATGTCATATTCCTGTTGACACTATCACAATATTTAACTTTCATAACAAAAACAACCTGGGACCAACAAAAAACAGACACATTGACCATTGGACCAAAATAGAGGACACAGAAATAAATATACACAACCACCATCATCTTATTCCTGGCAAAAGATTCCAAAAGCAAACTCTGGAGAAGAGTGCCTCTTTGCCAAATGATGCTGGGAACACTGGATGTTCACATACAGATAATAAAATAGATTCCTATCTCTGTACAAAACTCAATTCCAAATCAAAGATCTTAAAGGAAGACTCCAACTTTGAAGTAACAGCAGAAAAACATAGAGAAAACCTTTCATGATACAGGACTCCTATAGTCAAGAAAGAGTGAGAATTGATTAAGAGATTACATCAGATTAAAAATTAAATAATAATCATAAGAAAGACATAACAAATGGGTTGGGATAAAATATTTAAAAGCTACTCATGTAACAACAGATTAATATCCACAATATAAAATTCACAAAATTAAACACCCCAAAGAATAATCATATTAATAAGTGCACAGATTATTTGAGAAAGCAGAAGTACAGATTACCAATAAATACATGATTCAAAATTCATAACCATAAAGGAAATGCAACTCAAAATAACATTGGAATTCATCTCACCCTTGTCTGAATGTCTATCAGCAAGAAAAGAAACAACAGATACTGGTGAGAATTCAGGGGGAAAAAAATGAGCCCTTTTATACTTCCAGAAGTAGTGCACAATTTTCTTGAGACATCAGGATGAGCTAACTGTCAGGTAGCAGGGTTAGGAGTTATGTGTCCTCTGGTTTGGAGGACCTTCTTAAATCTCTCTTTAAGAGTTAGTTGGTAAGCTAGGCTAACACCTGCGACCTTATCTATGCAGGAGGCTGAGACCTGGAAAGTTACAGTTCAAAACTAACTTGGTGAGAAAAGCCTGGGAAACTCTGTCTCCAATTAATCAGCATGAAGTTAAGCTGGAGGTATTTCACAAGTGGCAGAACACCAGCTTTGAGCTGGTGAGGTCTTAAGTTCAAGTGCCAGTATCAGTGTATGTGTGTGTGTGTATGTGTGTGTGTATGCACACACACAAACAAGTTAGCTGGTAATCGATTTCAGTACACAAATTCAGAGATCCCTCCAACAAGAAAATGAACCTTCAGAATTAGTTATTCTTCAGAAAGAAAGAACCTCCTCAGGTGGCTTGCAATACAATGTGTATGTGTGACTCAGATCTATAAGTGATCCTTGGGACACTGCACTAAGTAGACTGTCAGAGTTTCAGTGAAGCATCTCTGGGGTTTACATGGGAAGAACCTTGAATCTTCATAGGTTTTGAGTGCACTATCTGAATGGTTCTAGTATGACAACAGAGAAACAAAAACTGCTCACTTGCACAATTCTTCCTCAATCACCTTATGACAAAATGACCAAGGCTGGGTGAGAAAGATACCTTCCTGCCAAGCCTACTACGAATTACCCTTGAACACAGATTCTTTCTTTTTTCTTTTCTTCTTCCTTCCTTCCTTCCTTCCTTTCTTTCCTTCTTTCTTTCTCTCTTTCTTTCTTCCTTTCTTTCCTTCTTTCTTTCGTTCTTTCTTTTTTCTTTCTCTCTGTCTCTCTCTTTCTACTTCTTTTTTAAATTATTATTGTAATGTGAGGTACAGAGGGATAATGGTTACATAATTCAGGTAATTGAGTATATTTCTTTTTGAACAGTGTCAGTGTCACCTCTTCCCTTGTTTTCTCCCAGTTTTTCCCACCACTCTCTCCAACAAGTTGTACACTTCATTTTTATCATAGTGTCACCTCAGTATCACTGCTGCACGTTTCATCCTTTGTCCCATAATTTCTGTGACCTCCTTACTCTCCTCCAAACTGTTAAACTATATATAACTATATATAAGACAAAAAGTACAGATATCAAAAGGAGTGACAAAGGAGAAAGAAAAAGACGAAAATAACAAAAAACCCATTTGTTTTCATTTCTTGGAGTTCAATAAACAACATTTTCTATGACAATATGTCTATAGCTATTGAACCTTTGTGACCTTCCCCTAAGAATATCCTCCTTTGATCTCACTGTGTAAATGTGAAAAGTCCAGCATAATTGATCATGTCCTTGTGTATTTTTTTCTTTTACCATCTCTTACTTGTCAATTTATAGGCACTTTCTAGTTACAACAAATGAGGGAAACCAGGCAACCTATGTTTCTTTGGGTCTGGTTTATGTCACTTAATATAATTTTTTCCCAAGTCTTTCCATTCCTTAAGAATGGTACAATATCATTCTTTCTGATGGAAGCATAGAATACCATTGTGTATGTATCTCATTTTCTTGATCCATCTACTGAGGGGCATCTGGGTTGATTCTATATCTTGACATGGCTGTGCTGTTAGTTTAGTGTGGCCTTGTTTGTGGTCAAATGGGTAAATGCTCAGTAGTGAAATTGCTAGGTGATAGCAAAGTTCTGTGTTCAGTCTTTCCAGAATGGTTGAACAAGTTTATATTCCCACTAACGGTGTACTGGAGTTCCCTTTCAGCGACATCCCCACCAGCATCCGTTATTGTTAGTTTTCTTGATAACTAACTAGGGTGAGGTGAAATCTCAATGTTTTCTTGATTTGCATTTCTTTTATGGCCAGGAATGTTGAGCCTTTCTTCATGTGTCTATTGGCCATTTTTATTTCTTCTGAGAAGTCTCTCTTTAAGTCTTTAGCCCATTTTTAAATTGGGTTGTTGTTTCTTTGAGGATTTAATTTGGGGAGCCTTAAGTTTTTGAGCTCTAAATATATTTTAGATATGAGGTACTTGTGTGATGCAGTAAAGATCTTTTCCCATTCTGTGGAATTTTTTCTTTTTTTAAATTTTATTTTATTATAAAAATGCTGTACAAAGGGGTTACAGTTACATGACTAAGGTAATGAGTACATTTCTTGTCAAACATTG